GCAAAAAATATATGTAAATGCAATTTATCTATATGTATGTGCAAAATAGAGGAATTAAGCTGATAGGGACCTTAAATGTTTTATCATCTTACCAACAGATTACCCATGTGGTTTTATCCAAATGCACAATGTACACAGATTGAGTACTATTGGGCTTTACTTAGAGTAAGTGGACATTTCACTGATGTCTAATGGCCTTGAACTATATAAAAAAATATCGCCATGAATAGATTTTGGTTCGTTAAAGTATGCGACCTGAATAACGCACATAATTACTAATGGGTCTGAAAAGATTAATGAGTATTGTAAACATTAAATTACAAGCAAAAGCCATCGAAGGAAATGAGAACTGATAATGACAATACATCACCGTCATGTATGTTTAATACATTAATACCTTCAACTCAAATAGATGATATAACGAAGCATGTTGCTTTAAATTTCCAAGAACCGTGGTTATAGATTTTGTTTTTCTAGTGTGTAAAATCGTTATGTAATTATCAATATAACCATTGGTCTTGTTTCTAATTATAATTAGTAGTTAAAAAATGTTCAAGCAAAATAAAAAATAACATTTCGTTATTTTCACATCCGGGTTAAGGGCAAATTGGAAATTTAATCCGGATTGAGAGAACAGGTTTTTACAACCTAAAATGAAAATCTGATTTTTTAAGAGTTTCATCATTAACAAGACTGCAATCCGAGCGGAACCGAGGTTTTTATACAGGTTCTCTAAATCCTCAGTTTATCTATGATAATTATGTAGTTTCACAAGTGATTAAAGAATATAAAAAATAAAGTCGTCTTAAAAATAAGAAGACCTAAATCATAAAAGGGACGGACAACACCATGATTAAAAGGGAGAAACAACACCATGATTAAAAGGGAGGGACAACCCCATGACTAAAAAGGACGGACAACACCATGATAAAAAGGGAGGGACAACCCATGACTAAAAGGGGACGGACAACACCATGATAAAAAGGGACGGACAACACCATGACTAAAAGGGACGGACAACACCACGATTTAAAGGGACGGACAACACCATGATTAAAAGGGAAAGACAAAAGACAAACAGTCAACAAAACATTACACGACTGCTCGGTACGGGCAGGTTCTAAATTCTTTCAAGGGTTGCACGGTAAGGGCAGGTTCTATATTCATTCAAGGCTTTCTCGGTAAGGGCAGGTTCTAAATTCTTTCAAGGGTTGCTCGGTAAGGGCAGGTTCTATATTCATTCAAGGGTTTCTCGGTAAGGGCAGATTCTATATTCTTTCAAAGGTTGCTCGGTAAGGGCAGGTTCTATATTCATTCAAGGGTTGCTCGGTACGGGCAGGTTCTATATTCTTTCAAGGGTTGCTCGGTAAGGGCATGTTCTATATTCATTCAAGGGTTGCTCGGTAAGGGCAGGTTCTATATTCATTCAAAGGTTGCTCGGTACGGGCAGGTTCTATATTCTTTCAAGGGTTGCTCGGTAAGGGCAGGTTCTATATTCATTCAAGGGTTGCTCGGTACGGGCAGGTTCTATATTCTTTCAAGGGTTGCTCGGTAAGGGCAGGTTCTATATTCATTCAAGGGTTGCTCGGTAAGGGCAGGTTCTATATTCATTCAAGGGTTGCTCGGTAAGGGCAGGCTCTATATTCATTCAAGGGTTGCTCGGTAAGGACAGGTTCTATATTCATTCAAGGGTTGCTCGGTAAGGACAGGTTCTATATTCATTCAAGGGTTGCTCCGTAAGGGCAGGTTTTATATTCATTCAAGGGTTCGTATGCTAAAATCAAGAAAGCTATTTTCACATTGCTTTTTCAATATCAAGATCATATTTCAGTGTTTTATCGCTTACTTTTAAAATTTGGGGGAAATTATTTTGTTACTACCAGAGACATATAACACATATATATCTCTGTTAATATCAATTGCATTTGCGCGCTATAAAAATGTATTGTTATTAAGACAATCTTTCCTGTATCTTGTCTCGTCTTTTTCATTTAGACCATCAGGTTCTAAAGCATGAAGCTGGTGGAGCTAAAAATTTTCTATTCGCCTTCCCACTCCGATATATATATCTTTATGCTGTCTTGAAAATTCATCAAATTTGCATCGCATGTGTGGCTTTATTACAGGTTGCATTGAAATTTTCAAGAATAAATGAGAAAATGATTTTCTTTGACGCTCTTCAAAAATGTAAGTTATTTCTATACAGTATTATAAAACAACTTTGCCCAAAATCACCAGCAAAACACAACTAAGAGAATATAGGAAAATGGCTGACATTTTTCTTACTCGTCAAATACATTTTTTATATATAAATTTAAGGACGTGTTGGGTATACGTCAACGAGACAGCAACCCAACGACCTAGATTACCAATAGACGTCTAGAGGTCAAGGATTCTTTTCTAAGAGGTTAATGATTCTTTCAAATTGGTGCGTTTACTATTAATAAATCTTTGATAGCATTACCATGAAGAAACGTCACCACTTATCTAATGTATGTCAAAAGTTACAAGTTTAAAATGGCAATTTGTACAGAAAGAGTTCTTATTTACTAAAATGCACACATCAAACGAACTCGTAGTCGTTTTTGTTATACAAGAGTGAAAATCGATGACTTGGTATGTGCGTCTAAAAAGCATATTTCACGCTTGAGATGTTTTTCCTTTTTTTCCATTAATTGACTGATTTTCACTGTGATCAAAGACATTTAGATAACATTGTATCTTACCACGACATCTAATGTATGATTTGAGAATTGAGCATTCCAAGTAACGTGAATGATTGAATTATCATTTGATAACTTTTATTTCCTTCATTTTACAAAGTGTCATTCTTCAGTTATAACAGCTAGGGGAACAACTATAAACCAACTTCCTTACATGTACGTCTGATTTGGTTCGTTTTTGCATAGAACATGGTGGGATAAGCAATTTAAAGGACGAAAAAAACTTTTTTTTCGACATCCGTTATCCGTCAAACCCGGATTTGTAGATTTTATTTCTTTTTCATTTTTTTCTAAAATGTGGATGTCACTCTCTCTGCACGTTTGAGAACCCTCTGAGGTGTCCCTTTATAAAGTCCCTTTTAAAAAGAAAGATTTCTGACTCTTATTAACAACATACAGTGATTTTCAGTATTTTCCACCCTCTATCCTTGTCGACCTACCTTCCAAAACCTACATACCTACTTGTTTGCCTTGAAAAATATATGATTATTTATTTTAAAAGAATATGAATGTAACATTTAAAGATTTCGATTTATTTTCAAAAGCTGTCCGTTTAATACATGAAGTAGAAGTTTTGGTTTTTATCTGCGGATTATTGCTGTCTCACTCTTCTCTTCTTTAACGAGAAAAGAATAATAAGAAAATATTTGGCAGTTGTTGGCATCAAAGAAAACATTCTGTGTATCGTTGATTCGTTCAATGTCAGGTATTTAACCATTACCTACAGTAACTACTCTGAGTACAAACCGTGCTGCTTACAAGTTGTCCATTTCAAAATTAAAAATACCAGAGATAAATACGTCCTTTTTCGGTCTCATTATCAACAAAGCCTAAATAAACATTTGTTCGTTATCATCATATGTATCGTACGATGTTACCGAAAGAGTAAGTATCATTAGTTATTTTGACATTATGATGACGTAATACTGCATTGATTTTGCAAACATTATCAAAAAAGATTATTTTTATTTCACACAACTAAATGTCATCCCAATGAAGCTTGCTTCATAAAGACAACTTTATATTTTTGTTAGTATGCAATGTGTCAATAAAAAGTTTTGGCACGAATATTGTGGTGGGTTAGTGTAGGATGACCTTCTGAAGTTCAGAACAATGAACAACTAAACTACAGGCTCTCAATAGCCTTATCACTCATATGGATTTATGTCCATTGTTAACATTTCAATATTAAAAAAGAATCAAGATTTAGTTTTCGTTGTGGGAGTTCTGAGCCTTTTATTAGCCGCATGGAATTACCTGAGGATCACACACATGTTTCATTGCACCAACACACGTTATGTAACAATTGTTACGTCACATGATTTTTCAGAATTATTGTTTTCTTTATTTTAAGTATCAGCATCATCCATGTTTGAAGGTGTAAGGGTATTTCAATAATTCAAAAATTTACTATTCATAGCCATTCATGTCCCCAAGAGGACAAAAGATGTATCACTTACGCATATGAAAATTGTAAATGAGTTAACCATCTACTGAAGACAAATTGTCTATCTATATATGGATATAAATCCATATGAGTGATAAGGCTATTGAGAGCCTGTAGTCTAGTTGTTCATTGTTCTGAAGGTCATCCCACACTTACCCAACACAGTATTCGTGCCAAATACTACTACTAGGGGTGTGTTTAACGACCTTTACTACCCATGAGGGTCTAGCACGGTCGGAAAGACAAAATGACATGACTGTAAGCAATATCTGTTTAACGGGGTCATTGTTTTAGTAGATCTCCTGTCAATGAATGAGATGATTTTTTTAAAAGGTTGACGATGGACAAATGATGCCAAAATATCACACTGTACAAAACAATAAATAATAAATCATCTGAAAAGTACGGGATTTACTTTCCGACCACCTTCTGAAAATTACTCGAACACTTTACAATATTTTTATATTTAGTCATTTCATATGATGTAAAGATTGAAATGCACGTTTTAGACTCAATTTCATTTACTAGTATATGTAAATGTAACATGGAAATAGTAATTACTCTAAATTCCCACACCATCATCACGTAGACTGCGTACTTATACATGAATAACCCACACAGTCTGCCTATAAATGCTTACATCCACTACATTTGAACTTTAGTGGATAGTTGTCTCATTGGCAATCAAACCACATCTCCTTATTTTTTTATAAACACAACTAACCTCACTCCCTCATTTAAATAAACCATATACTTTTATTATAGCAGTTATATTTGGGATAGTTTTGGATAGCCTAGTCAAACAAGCTCTTTGTACATCTATAAGTTACCTGTTTGAAGCCTCTATACATTATCTGGAGTTCTTTACGGGAAAATTTTGACTTCTCACACAATGAATCGATAGCTTCTGGCTTGTATCTAACAATCTGAACCTCGAATTCGTTGTCATCACCACCTAAAAAGAATGTTTAAAATGTTCAGGTGTTATACATGTCTTCCTAAATCTTCTAATTAAATTCGCCTTTTCAGATGTCGTATTTGTATTATTTTTATATATGCCGAAAGATCATAGCTCAAAACTGTAGTTTCAAAAGATTTCGGCAACTTTTAAACTGACATCATCAGATATTTTGGCAATATAGAATCGTGTATAAGCATTAAAATAAAGATTAAATCTAACCCACTGGACTGTCATCATTTTCAGCTTTGAGCCAGTGAGGAAAATGTGTAATGTTAGGATGAAGCATTTAGATTTGTGAGTTAAGCAGCAAGCTTGACACTTATTAAAGATAATATTGTTTCACCTGAAGGAAGGTCAAAATAATGACAACTTGTACAAAAAGTAGGTGAAATTATAATGTTTACAAACAATTTGTATTATACTAATATAAATAAAAACTGTCACGTCTTGCGCAAGAGAAAATATAAATAAAAACACTGAAGATAACCAATGAGTTTGCAATAATCTACATATTGTTGGTACATGTATTCGTCATCAAATAATGTAATGACAAAATAAATGCATGGTACTGTAAAATTCATTGCGGTTTCAATTGAAGCATCTGGGAAGTACCAGTGACGTAACGAATGGTGACGTTGCTGCGGTGTATACTACACTAGTATGTACAATGTATATATATAAAAAAAAAATGTTGCTAAGGTCTTTAATAAGATCATACAGTCTTTACAGTATAATTGATTTATCTCAAAATTTGTTAAAATTCGAATTTTGACTCCGTGACTAAAACACAATTTATAGATAATTTGCCATACCAGTACTCTTTGTATCTGGTGATCTATTGTTGAGCGTTTCAAACCTTTCTTAATTTTTGTTTTTGTAGAGATCGCAAAACAAATGTCGTAATGGAATAAGCACACTTGCTATAACTAGAAACAGTGAGCTTCAATCGATGGAATAAAAACACTTTAATTTGGCTATACTAAAAAAGTTATTTCCAAATTTTTTATTGTGTAGTCGATATGTCATCGTCTAACAATCTATTTCATGTCTCATAATTGATCAATATGACGAAATTGTATCAGTTAAAACGTTCAACAGATGTGTATCACAAACTAGTATGGAAGACAAAAAACCTAGTACAATTATTGAATTATTAAGTAATAAACCCCGGGAAAAATCCACCAAAGGCTTTAATCAATGACACCATCATAATTGGATACAAAAATTGTCAGAGAAAAATAACATATTGTTATTTGCCCTGTATGGTGGTATGATTAATCACAAAACGTACTATTGATATAGAAAATAACCCTCTATATTATTTTCTGATATTACAATCATTGGCTGTTCTATTCAAATTAATTCAGCATTATGATTTTTGACATACGATTTTGTTGTAGGAAGTATTGCTTATAGTAGATTGTAATATAGCATGACAACTACAGCAAAATGCATTACAGCAAATTGTTTTACTTTGTCTTTGAGACATACAAGTACTATTGTTATTCGTGTTAGTTGTATTAAATTTCCGAAATTGAAATAAAAATTCAGTTGTCAAAAAGTTCCATTATTATCTAGTCTAAGATACAATTGTAAAATATTTCTTTTAGGATTCTTTTGTTTTTGTGAGAAACACACTATTCAGTGATAAGCCACATGTATGGCCTGTCTTTGAGACATACAAGTACTATTGTTATTCGTGTTAGTTGTATTAAATTTCCGAAAATGAAATAAAAATTCAGTTGTCAAAAAGTTCCATTATTATCTAGTCTAAGATACAATTGTATATTATTTTTTTTTATTATTTATTTTCATTTATAAGACTTTTTAAGGTTGTATAGGCTATGATGTCATAAACGTACATTATTGATGTGTTTATATGTTCAATCGGGAAAATATTTCTTTTTGGATTCTTTTGTTTTTTGTGAGAAACACACTATTCAGTGATAAGCCACATGTATGGCCTGTCTACGGTTCTTTGGAACCAATATTATGTTTACGGGTAAAAGACATAAGACAAACCAATGAGCGGCTAGGTTCCTTATTAAAATCCCAATCCTGTAAAAATAATTTTACTAGACCGATCAGAAGATAAACTTGTTTTGGCTCCGGACAAGAAACACACTTCATCAAAGCATTTCTTAAAAAAAATAGAGAGTTTCCCAAATAGGACGTTTTAAGGATCTATCAAAAAGAAACACTGACTGTAAGTTAATATAAAGAGTTCATATAAAAATCAGTAGATGTGGTATGATCGCCAATGACACAACTATCAGTAAAAATCCAAATGACGTAGATATACATCTACCTATTAATAAGTATCACCGTACGGCCTTCAATAGATAGCAAAACCTTTACCTTAAAGTTAGATATTAAAGGCAACGACATGACAAAATGTGAAACATTTCAAACAAACATTTCAAACTAACTGTTGGATTTATGACAGAACAATAAATGAAAAACAATTATGGAAGACAGCAACCAACAATGTCGGGGTTAAAGATTTTGACATTCACATTGTAATTCCAGTACACATGATAGTTTGACAGAATATGAAGCACTCCGTTCCTTTGTCAACTCATTTAACCCGAGTTGTTCTCTTCGTTTTTTAAAGCAATCTTATGTTTACTTCATAAAATGCATTTACGTACTGTGTTTGCTTTCAGGGAAAACAGATCTTTCGATCTTTTCCCCTGCTTCTTATGCTTTCTTATGCTTTCTTATGCTTCTTATGCTTTCTTATGCTTTCTTGTGCTTCTTATGCTTTCTTTACTTAAAGCCGTCACAGAAACTACTGTTGCCATAAATAATACAATAATTGTTCTAATCTATTCTGTTTACGAAGATAATTGGCTGCAAGGTCTAATTGGAGGGAAGGTATTAGAAATAAGATGTATAAATTGGGATAATAACATTATTTTTTTAAGACAGCCCAGGTTATCGATTTTCCATTATTTAAAATCCCCCATCAATAAGAAGTGACAAATAAAAATACAGAATGCAGACATCCTTTTATAGGGAATCTTTGACAGATGATCTTATTCAATACATCCTGTAAAAATTGAATTATATATTATCATGTTGTCATGGCATAATCAGCTTGAACAGAAGAATTAGCTGAGGGAATATAGAACAGCTATCTGTTCTACCATCCAGTAATCAGAGACTGCATTCTGGGATTCTAAAATGACCAATTGCTTGCATATCATCTTTAAATAATAGCTATAAAAGTATTTCGGATAGTCATTTTTGTTGTTTGTTTGAGGACAAAACAAGACTGTTCACCTCTATCATCAACTAAAATTGGCAGATAACTGATTTGAAAACCAAATCATCAAGCGGAAGCGAATTTGGCTAAAAATGTGATGGTCACCTGCCTTCATTCGTTTTAATTTTCAAGAACACTTCATTTGATTCGTATATTGACAGATTTTTTAAATAAGAAATAAAAGGTTATTCCATTTTGAATTTGAGAGTAAAATTTTGAGCACAAAACTTTGACAGAAATTATCGAGTGAAATGAAAGCAGTATCATGCCACGTGAAATCAATTATTTACGTCATATAACTGAAAATGGCAAATGTATGCAGTATGGGTTTGGTCATTGTCGAAGGCCGTACGGTGACCTTTAGTTGTAAACTTCTATGTCATTTGGTCTCTGGTAGAGAGATGTCTCAATGACAATGATACCTCATCTTCTTTTTTTTTGTATATGAAGAAGTTGATTTCCTAAAAAATAGCCCATAAAAAAATTATCAAACATTATTGTACATGTATATCATTGGATAAATGGTATATATTTATATGTAGATCAACTATCCATATTTACACTTTTTTCAAATGAATAAAATTCGCGATTTTTTAAAGCACGTTCCCGATTTGATTAGTTAGGAAGACGGAGCTAATAGTTGTTTCATCTTTGATTGCTTTCATATGGCATGTGTTGTTTTCATACGAAAATGAAAGCATATGATATGATAGAACCAAATGATTCGTCTTTCAGACAATAAAAAATCAGCATTTGTATGAATTGAATACCTAATCATAAGAAATAATATGTACAAAATTGCGTTGTCTGTCATTGTTTCTTGTGTACAATTATTAGCTTAAATCAGGTATTCGTATTTTTTTCTCTTTTGTACTATTTCAACTTTTTTCTTGTGCCTTTTTAACACCTTAGTTTACGATATGTGTTTTGCTCTATGTTTAAAGCCGTACGGTGACTGGTAGCTTTTGACATCCTTGTCCTTATTCTTTTGAGGAAAGCTGTTTCATTGGCAATCATACCACAACCCTTTATTTAGTTACCGCAATACATATATAACATATAGGGCATTTTTTTGTAAAGGTCCTGAATATCCATTTAATTTCTTAAACAGTCATATTTTTATTAAAAACGTTTGAATTGTTTCATATGTCGGGGCCTTTTATAGCTGACTATACGGCATGGGTTTTTCTCATTGTTGAAGGTCGTACGCTGGCCGACCTATAATTGCTTATATCCATTTGAACTGAATTGTTTCATTGGCAACCATACCACTTCTCCTTATTTTAATATAGGCTTCCATAATCATCATCTTTTTGAAAAGTGAGGAAAGTTAACCTCTGCTGAAGCTGTTATTTTGTGCTTCACTGAGTCTTTAGAGGAAAGTAGTCATTGTTATTTTCTACAGCCGTGTTTTTGTCTCTTTTTTTTTCTACTGTCATTTGTAAAATAGGTCTTACTTTTATAAATTTTGACTTGGATGGAGAGTTGTCTCATTGGCACTCATACCACATCTTCTTATATCTACTTGGTATCTTCTTATCCTTTTAAATTAGATTACTGCACCAATAATAAGGGCCTTGATTGCTTATCCTTTCGATAGAGCCTCCGGGTGAATTCACATTTACAGCTGGATGGATTTATTATTTCGTTTTGAATGGTTTTCGATGTTTGCTAAATATGCCCTTTGTTATCTTCAGAGTTTTGCCTCAAATCAAATATATTTTGTCATATAAACATTGTGACAAAGTACAAATAAAATAAGTTTCATATAATATAGATGAAAATTCACATAACTATACAATCGTATTAATCCTGTATATATTCCAAAGTCTACTGTCCTCAGTTCTAATGACTTTTTAATGTAGGACGTTTATTTATTTATTTGTGATGGTGTTGATGGATCTAAAGCAAACAAAGATTGATCAGGGGCTCTTTCCACAAATAATCTTACGACTAAAATGTATCGTAAGTTATACTGAAATGTTCATAACTTACGAGTATTTTTTTTCGTAAGATTTTTTGTGAAATGAGTTGCTGCAGGATTGTATCTCTCCATATCACTAAAAAAAGTTGTTTTTCTGATCAAAAATTATTAAAAAATGCTTTTCATCTTCTATTACTAATAATAACAAAAATATTTTTTGCAATGATTATTAAAACAGAATGTTGCAATCTCATGACATAATTTAATGCATGTAAGTTATAACTTGTAATGTGTTATTTTGTTATATTTCTTTGATCTCTTTCTACGATAACATTCTCATAGTAAACATAGTGTTTGTGTGTGACTGAGACGTTACTCAATCAGTTATTTGTCTACGGAAATGATACATAATTATTTGGATAATTAACAAAATATAATATTAAGATAATAAATATGTAATAAACAAAAATTCTCGATGAAAAATACAATGTGTTATATTTTTAGTGGTTACATGGATAATTTGAGCTAATGGGTTACTGCATCTAATCCGTTTATTTCATTACAAATGTAGCATAACGTGTAACTATGTATAATATATAAAAAAAAAACAGTTAAAGTTGGTAAAACCACTAAACCTGTTTACGATTCTTATTGTTTTTCTGGTTAAATGTTTTGTGAATTATAATCAACATTAACTTTTATTTAAATAATATATAAAAATTATCATATAAATTATCAAAACAATTGTCAAAGTGACTTTCATCAGAGCTTGTTAAAATTTGTATACAAATATAACACGTGTAAATAATGAAAATCTAAATTTGCAAAAAGGTGATGGTATGTGCGTTCGTCAGTATATGTACTGACTTAAGTGTACGAGACAGCTTATCATGACTAGCATATAGGTTCAACTAAGTTTTATTTTTGGTGCATTTAATACATGCATTCTATAAAAAAAGTTATTGGCGCAAACCGTTATTGGCGCAACTATATTATTTTGCAAATCAACGATAAATTGGCGCAATGCGTAGAACGAATAAATAAAGCAAGACTTAGTAACACTTATAGCAAAGTAGCCGTATGACACAAAGACAAACCACAACAAGCACACCCATGATCCGAGTAGTTTGATTTGATACAGACACAAACTAGGGTGTGATTAAACCAGTTTTTACGTTCTTACAAACCTCCCCCTTTGTCTAACTTGCCGTAAAGCAAGTACGTTGTATAACACACAATAAAAAAAACTGAAATTCATTAAATTTGAAAATGAGGAACAAAATCTGCTCCCTAAGATAGCCACAGCTGTTGGCTGAATATATTGCCGCTCAAGAAAGCAGGACAAAAAACATTCGCCATTCCTAATAGATTTCATGAAGTTTTCTCGTCAAATTAATTTGAAAATTGTACTATTTGTGAGAGGCCAGAAAGTATTCCGTATTGTCAGACTGACGGAAAGAAACCATCATTTTAACTTAATTAGCTAGTATACCACGCATGTAAGCCTTGTCGTTGAAAGATGTAAGATAGTTCTGATTTGGTTTTAACCAAGCATCTGCCAAACATATTTAAATGTTTTGTTTTTATTATTCTTCTTATATATATGAAATGTTAACAAAATGACAGTCTTACCTGAATCTAAAACTTTGTCGTATACTGCTCCCATAGTTGTTGCTATTCCACCAGGATTATTTCTCTAAACATTTTGAGTACATTTTGCTGATCTTTTACAATTAACTCATTTTAATTAGTTCCCTTGATAGTCCGTACAACATAAAAATAAGGAAGAAAAGCTGATTAAAACAGAGCTTCCATGAAAATCTGATTTGCCACGATTGAAAATCCTGATTTATTTGTTTATACTGTTCTAGAGCACCGTTCCGCCTGCTGCAGTTAGTTATTCAAAATCAACCTACGGAATCTAAATGAATTGATTACAAATCCGGAAAACAGATACACGGCCTCAAATTTCCGTTTTAAGTTAGATATATGATTTAACATAAAATCTATAAATCGAGCTCGCATTCATGAACACAAAATTATAACTGTCTTACGTTCCCTTCGGTCATGTTAAATCCCAAAAAGCTTTTTCTGTGTTAAAGGAATGAAGCGATGGTTATAGATTTTTCTTACGGGAAATGATTAGATATACAACCTAGCTATTTCTATGAACTGTAAGACCTATCGTTGCTAAACAGATGGATTTGTTGAAATACACACATGCAACACATGAAAATAACGACTTGTTTTTAACAAGTGAACACGTTTAGTGATACGTAAAAACGTTAACGGGTGCGTTCGGAATTCTGCTTTGATGATACATCATTATCAATTATTAGGATGACATTACGAGCTGTAGATGCGAAGTTGATGTCTATTCTAATGGAAATTCTTGTTATGTAAATATGTATATGAAAGAAGAAAATCAAAGCGCTCATTGATCTATGGATATATTGCCCTTATCTGAAAATGAAAAATCATATCGATCAGAAAGATCTTTTTAATGGGGAAAATCAAGTTATATTGGTGCTTCAAATTTTGTAATTTTGTATTTATCATTGATTTTTTTATATTCAATACGGATGTAGGAAGGAGAATTAGATATTCCACAGAGAAATAATTGACACTAAATACCTAAATACAATTATCTATTTGACATCTGAAACTTGGTTGTTATATACAATTTGCTATGGAATAATATTTATTCTATAGTAAATCTGAGTTCACATGGTAATTGAATAACCATTATAATATGATTATTATATATTTAACTAAAGGCATTGAGCAGGAATATCTGCAAATTTACCTGTAATATATCTTACTTAGAAACCAATTTTATATTAAATTGTCCTCTGATGCACATTTATTATCTTATATTTTTGTGGCAAATTAAAAAGAAGAGGCGGAAGATACCACAGGAGAAACAAAACTCAGAAGTCGAAAATAGACAGACAAAATCATATTAAAAAAAGAAACACGACATAAACATAGGCAACAATCACCAATACATTACATAAAAAACTAAAGACTTAGCAACACGAACCATACAAACAACCAAGGGTGATATCAGGTGCTCCGGATAGGTAAAAGTCTAAATTGTTTCTGAAGTCACATTTGAAATATTAATTCCGTTGAAAAAATGTCTGTTTATAGCCTTAGTATTACATAAGAAACTTTTAAAAGCACTAGGTTTTTTCCATGTTCTGAATAGTCGTTCCTTTGGCAAACTTGACTTTTGACGGGTGTTGTTGTTCAGTTTAGGTATAGTGTATTATAATCGATCAGGATAATAATTATGTCCAACTTTAAGCATATGTGGCATTAAGGATTCAAATATCAATTAAATACACGTTTTTAAACAGTAATAAATTTTATTTGAGGATGAGAATCTTATACGAATATATGAAATCTAAAATGATTTAAGTTACAGTGTAAGAAGAGCTTTACAAAACAAGAAAAAAGTCAACTTTAAATTATCAAAGGGTTTGCAGTTTTAGGTTTTGAAAAAATTATCAAAAATTATTCACATATATAGTATGATTATAGTGACTGTTTAAAACGACTCGCGAGAGTAACAAAACATTGACTTCTTAGGAGAGGACAAAAGTACGCTTGAAGTGGTATGGAGTAGTTGGTAATAAATTAAGTAAAATGTACCATTTGTGATACATTCTATCTGGTTCTCTCCCTTGACTCATACTGGTATCCGAGTCAAACAGATAAAAATACAGGCAACCAGTCTACTTTCTATCAACATTTCTGGATATATCTCACCCGGGAAACTTTAAGTTAGTTCATAACCCCATGTAAAAGCTAAAGAAGCATGAATACAGGAGGTACTGTACATGTATAACCAGAAATAGATCTAAAAGAACCAAAAACATTATATGGTCGTGACTGGTCCTTCTGTTGTATAAAATACTTTTTATTTACATGCGACTGTTCTAAAAGTTAGTTCCATCGACATTTTCAAATAGATCAAAATAGTAGAACGTATATTTTCGATTTCTTCAATACTTTATCAAATTTTTGGTAAAATGTCAATAAGATAAGTATTAATGATTTGGTGCATCCGAAGAACATTTTAGATCTACATTCATTATTTCAGTGCAGATAATATTAAGAACCTTCATAGAAACAAACTTTCATAATTTTAACTTACATGTTCCTTTTTCAGCTCAATGCATTATCTATAAAAGCTCAAAATCATATTAAGGATGAATATTTTATGTTACAGGCTTTTTATATTGCAATATTTCGCATAGTTATTCAAAATATTTAACGAGTTATGAGGTTAAGAAAATCAATAGGGACATCTATGAAAAGGCAATAGTATGCAGTTAATACTATTTAATTGAAAATCAGATTACTCGTTTAGAACGAATTGTACATTTATATTGCCTCTTTGAATAATTCTGAAGATAGATGAATACTGTTAGTAAAATTTCAAATGACAATGTGCTAGTCTTTAAAGTGCTTCCATGACTGATTTGATCACTAGCTAAAAAAGAAAATCGATGAGTGTGTTCTAATGCATAAAACAAAAATGATTTTAGATAAATCGATAAATTTAAAAACAGTTAATATGAGGACGAAGTCATTTGAAATGACTAAGAAAAGCAATCAAAAGAAAAGTAAATATAAAAAAATCAATAATCTAGTATCTCTGTATACGTGAGAGCACCTCTATATACTGAAAAAGTAGCTTGTCAGGAAGACATTATGTGTTTAATTTCATTTTTCTTTCTTTTTCTCGAGTTCTTTAGATTATTTCTGTGATGCCTTTTAAATAAATATCAGCAAAAATTGTATTTTTCTGTAATCAGTTATAATATAAAATAACAAGAACATGTATTTGATAGATGTGCGTTTTTAATTTACATGACCAAATTCATTTTAATTTCATGTCTGTTACGGTTTTACTTAAAATGCATACGGAAACCTCTGGTACATCATATTTTACATGATCATGTATCATTTTCATCAAAGGGTACCTAGTATTTCATTCCCCGAATATTGTACTGCTTCAATTTCAGCGTTGAAAGTATATTATCAATGGGTGTATTTTTTTTTCTTTAGTATTAACATTTAATCACATTAAAACAACACTGGGGATTCCAAGAGTGAAGTAAATAGAAGTTGTTAGCAATCTTTATTCATCTTTCGTAATAACAATTCCTTGCAAATGGATGCATACGAACCAAACCTGAATCGTTCACATGTTTCGTCTAACTTAGACTAACACTTGAGTGCCGGAGGTCGTGAGTTCGAACCACGGCATAGTCAAACCAAAGACAGTAAAGATTGATATTTGCTCCTTCTCCTCTAATCACGCGGTATTTAGCAGTAAGAGCAAAGACTGGTCGGCTCGGAATCAGAAAAATGTGTCCGGCTAGGGTGATATGTTCTTTTGCGGACTATTACCTTGTAACCTAGCACCTTGAAAATCATCGTGTCGGACTCAGGGGCGTTGCTACCCGGAAGCATGACAGCACGTGCATCCACGTCGTTTTCACCAAAAAAAAAAAAAAAAAGAAGAGAGAAAGAGAAGGGGGACAAAGTTTACTTATAGGAATTGGTCTCTCTATGTATGTATTTTAAAAACTACACAAAGAATAAAAGCAAGAATAAACATGCAGCAAAATTTTTAGTCCTGTAAGACATGTATGTGTACGGTAAATACATACAACTGGTGTCATTGAAACATAGTGGAACTTTTTATATTACGGACATGTTTAGAAAAACAGCTACATAATTGTCGGTACCACCACCATAACGTATACTAGCCTTGAGTGCAAAATACAACATATAATCCCTTTAGGGTTAACAAAAAAACTTGAACATTATTATTTTCCGCTTCCCCCCAAAGCACACATCTTACTAGAACGAAGACTCTTCAACTCGTATCGATCCGGGAATAACGTCTGTTATCTTGTGAAGTAGTTCAAAAATTGACCAAGTATGTAGGTCTTGACAACACGAATACTTCATTTTCACATCACGTCAACGTATTCTCGTTCTGGTGTGCATTTAATATTTGCTACTGGACATTAATAACCATTCAATCAATCAATAGTTTCCGTAAACTAATAGACGAGAAGTTGGAACTGCTGTTATTATAAAAAAAAGTACACATTTCCAGTACATGTAATACGTTTTTTTTATTTATTTTACAAAAAACATCTTGTATACTGAACTATTTGGTCATTCAATTTTATAATGAATTTTCTGTCCGAGTCGGACACCAAACTTTTAATACATGTATCTTCACTGTTATCATCTAGATATTGCAATACAACTTGTCGAATGCATATGTATTTGTTAATTAGCTGGATAATTAACAAACGCAGATCATGAAAAGATCGTGATCAAAGTACCATTCCCTCTGAAAAAGTTCCTTAATTTCAACTTCGAGAATTCCTAACTGCGTAAAATAAGAAATTCCTATCTCTCTCTTGTAGAGTTTACCCACAGAATTTTTAAACATCAAAATACATATGTTCAGCAAAATATTGGAGAATGTGTCCACCAAGTATTTGGTATCCAAAGATGTTTATGCTAACAAATTCCACATATAGTATTGTGTTTATGTTTATTGTTTGTTTTTTTATCCATCTACTTTGCTCAATACACATACTAGCATATGGAACAAACCTCCGTGATTTTAAAAGCTCTCATGGCGTACAAAAAACGCAAACGACAATGTTTAGTCTTCATTCGACTCGAAGTTAAACAAATAGTTGACCAAAAAACCACAACAAAAATATACAAGTTTTATTACGGTTGTGATTGTTTTGAAACGCTATATATGCGGATTTTCCGGGGGCTTTGCCCCCTGGTCCCCAGGGCTGTGCCCTGGACCTATGGGGGGGCCTTAGGCGGCCCCCAGACCCCTCGCCCTTTGGTTTGTGATTCCACTTCATTAAGAAGGTAGCTACGCCCCTGTCGGTCTAGAACGAAGAAGGGTTAGCATTTCTATCGCATTAGCATGTTCTCGGCCTGAATATGCATTCGATTTTCCGCTGGACGTCAAACAGCCATCCATCCAATCATCTATCTGTTTTAGGCCATTAAGTTGCTGTGTATGACGATTTAAACACATACTCAACGACCGTTATACATGTTCATCAAAGGATTTGACTCCAATCGGTAAGTTAGAATAAAGAAAGTCAGTCTTGAGACAATTTGGAAAAGAAAATATCCACCATAATCATCAATCTCGATGTGTCGTAATACCTGCTTCTCAGATAAACAGCATCCCATGGGGATCATTTTTGTTTGTGTATGTGTTTCAAAATGTGCTTTGCCAAATAGTATGAAAATATGAAGCATTGAATAAATATTGGCGACGGATGAATCA